TTTGTTTATCTTGTATCAGACAAACATGATGCATTTTCCCTTCAGACATTGATTGTAGTATTCTGTAGTAGTCCGTGAGCTAGTGACACCAGACTCTGGGTAGCATTTCGGTTCAAACTTCCGCACTTTTGGTTTTCAGTTGCTTTAGATTTAAAGTCTTCCGCTTAGATTTTGTCTCGTTTATTATATTGTTTGAAAGAAAGCAGGAAAGGTGTTTTAAATATTTGGCTTGCCTAGCTCCGATAGTAGGTGCCATCACGATACCCGATGGTGGGAAATCCGGGTCGTGACAGACTTTGAACACAGTCTCGCTAGAGTATCGAGGAAAGGTAGATGGTGGATGAGCTACAAAAACATGAGTGGTCCAAGGAGCGGGATATGAGGTGGTTCTAGGGGGTGGAGTGTGAAAAGGTTGTGGGGAGATATCCTGGACTTGTGACAGTGGCGGAATGGTGACAAGGCTTTCAGTGTAATTAGTGGGAACTGATGGTGGAGGACGCCCGCTAATCCAGGCTTGGTATATTTCGGTCATCTGTCCTTTCAACCTTAAGACCTCTTCTTTCAACTCAGATTCTGATTCAACAATTCCCTTAGACGGATCAATGACTCTTGTGTCCAAGTCTTTGCTAGTCATGGCTACCTTACTCTTTGACCTTGTGTTGTATGGATGAGTTACCTTAAGAACCACAAACCAACCACCCTTCTACTCAATGAAGATAACAAAAAGAACAAAATGGGGTCGTCCTGTTAGCATTAGGGCATTTAACATCTAAAAATATCACATTGCGTGCAATGTACCTAGCAACAATTAACAGTTCTAGAATGACTTCGAGGGTCACAAAGTCACTTGGCATCATCCCAATTTTGTTCATTTCAATCTTTCCTTTTCTTTCTTTTTTAGCACTTCTTGGCTTGCTCATTTTCCTCCTCATTTTTTTTCTTTTCTGATTATCGCCCTTTTCTTTCCGCTCATTTCTCACATCCCACTACATCATCCTCTCATTTTTTTTCCTTTTCTTTTTTTTTGTTTTAATTTTTTTTGTTTCCTTCTTTTTTTTCTTTTCCTTTTAAATAAAAAAAATGATTCTATCGAACCCTATGTAGGTTGCCTACGTATCATGACGCCGCATGAATCAGATCTTTGCGTAGTTCGGGAAAAAGTAATGGATAAATTAAACTAAAAAAATCAAAAACTTTTTGGATTATTCATTACAACAACTTTTTTTCATTTTCAAATATAAAATAGGAAATATGATAACGAGAGACTCATTTCAACTATACTACGACAAACTCCAACACCAACTAAAAGAATCATTACTGGACATGACTATAAAGTACAAGACAACATAAAAAAGAAACATACTCAAAACATAAAAAAAATCTCCTTAAGCAACTCCTAGATGCAACGGTCCTGACCAGATGGTCCTGGGGTGTCCGTCATGCTCAAACCCCGGTAAGTAGATCCACACCTGTATAAGAAAATTAAAACCAAATAGAGTTAAAGATTTAGAATACTATATGAGACAATAACACTCCCTATTGGACACATGCAAGACATGATTGAGGCTATTTTTGTAAAATGACTTATATGGCCAAAAGGTGGCTAGAAGTGCAAACTCAACAAAAGACCTTTAAGACATGGAAAAATTACTTGTAGAAATGGCTTATGCGGCCAAAAAATGGCAAAGGCTGCTAATTCAACACAATGGACCTTAAATAGAGAGAACATCTTGTTGTGGACTTAGAACTCTAGGACACGGGTCACTGAACCATTTTTGCGAAAATGACCCCATTTTGCAACAATGGCTGATGTGGCAAAAAAGGGCTAGACATGCAAATTTGACAAGGACGGACCTTAAAGTAAAGAGACACCTAATTGTGGATTGAAGACTCTCCAGACACAATTAAACAAGTCACTTTGTGAAAATAACCCTATTTTGCAAAATGGCCGATATGGCCGAAAGTGGCTAGACATGCAAGATTTGGCTACGACTCTCGAAGCCAAGAACCTAAGACTCACTAGGAATATCGGACCCTATGTGGGTTGCCTACGTATCCCGCCCCGAGAGACGAGAATCAGGTTCGCGTAGTTCGGGCGAATTGGATACATGCAAGAATTAAAAAAACAACTAATTTAGATAATAATATATTTTTGTATTTTGTTTTTAAAAAAATGATGAAACATGTAACTTTTTTTGAATTTTCTTTTTTTGATTTTTTTTTTGGGAAAATGATTGGAAAGTGCAAATTTCTTTTGGATTTTTCATGTTTTTTTCTTTTTCTTTAAAAAAATGTGAAAGAAAAATATAACGGGGCCCTACTTGCTTTATTTTTTACACTTCACCCTCTTTTTCTATCCTCAAACCTCATTCATCCGCCAAATGACCCTTTTTACCCTTGAAAGTTGCAACATGTAGCACATAGGATGTATCAGGATGGTCTTTTATTTTTGGGTACACCTGTCCTAGACGAACCCAACCCCTGTGTTGAGTCCCCAAAGACAAATGCACGTGATGAAAACAAGCGTTCCTACTAGGGATACGACATGAGGCTATGTTATTCTAAGTTTAAGACCTGGGTGTATTGTTCTAAACCTGGCTTACCAGAGCGGACAACTCCAGCCGAGGGGGGAAGCGTACCAGTAACCAAAACATCATCCGGCTTTGCAACTTGTCCGAACCTCGTTCAAAATTGGGATATCACACTAACAGAAAAGAAGTCACGCCAGCGTGCACTTCCCAAAGATTAGAAGAGAATGGTTTCGCAGCAGTTTATATGCAATTCAAATAATATCAAAACGGTAAAAAGCGACATTTAGCACATTAGGCCCAAGCATGTAATAAAAATCAGATAATAAATAAAAGCCAAATATAACAATTATTCTAAGCTCGAATTCTTGAACTTTGAACTAGAGATTCTGGGTTCTTGTCCCCAGCAGAGTCGCCAGAGCTGTCACACCTCCTTTTTCTACCACCCCCGAAAGGTGTATAGGGAAGTTTTTTTCAATTTAAGTGATAATCGAAACGAAATTTATTTATTAAATTCAGAGTCGCCACTTGGGATAATTTATGGTGTCCCAAGTCACCGGTTTGAAATCCCAAATCGAGGAAGTTTGACTCTTATTTATGGTCTGCGAACACATAAATCTGAGTAAGGAATTCTGTTAATCTGGGAGAAGGTGTTAGGCATTCTCGGGTTCCGTATTTCTAGCACGGTCGCTCAACTATTATTATTGGCCTATTTATATGATTTTAAAACATTTTTGAAACCTACGCATTTTATCCTTTTTAAAATCGCTTTTAACAATCTGATTGTCATACAACTAATTATTTGATTACATACTGCGAATCATGTCACGGGAACCGTACCCACGATCTACAACTTGTTTATTTTAATAACAAAATTAAATTGTGGCCGGGTCACATAAATGTACCCCCGAATTTTAGAAATTAAAGTATCACAACTATGTCACGGGAACCGTACCCGTAGCTATGACACTTTATTTAATTGCGCCTAAAGCAAACTACAAATGTTTAAAGTATTTTCTACACTAAGTTGTAAAATTAATATGAGGGCCATAGATTAAGGGGTTTATTTGTGAATGACACGCCTCAATTTATTTCAAAAGAATGCACTCAACTTAAAGCAAACTACGGATTTTTCATAATTTTTCCTTTCTAAGCTACTTCAAAATTATTGTAAGGATAAAGTTGCTCAATCAAATACAGTCACATAAATTTAAACCACGTAATAATTGTTTTCCACAAAATCGCCTAATAAAAAATATATATGCACATATGGACAAAAAGCTCTAGAAAGAGTGCTCCTGATTGTACTATTCCATCTCTTTTTTGACTAATTTCCTAAAATAATTGTTCCAATCGCAATAGATAACCGTCAAAAAGGATAAGAGTTAAAAAAAATTCAATTAAATTAATTAATATTCAATTCTTCAACAAAGTGTGCTCGGAAGTATTTCTTCAACAAATCATTTTTTTACACTATGTTATAAANTATTATACCCGATATGGATAATCTTCTAACGGGGGTAATGTTTATCCATAACTGGGTACTGAAAGGATAAGTTTATTATACCCAGTATGGATAATCTTCTACCGGGGGTAATGTTTATCCATAACCGGGTACCGAAGTGATAAGCTTCTTCAGAAAGTTTATTTCCAATAGAGTACTTAAATAGATAAACATATTTACGGTGGAGTCCCATATGGATAAGCTTCTTCAGGAAGCTTATTTACAACGGAGTACTAAATGAACATCCATAATATAATATATTTATAATATACTAGACAATATAAACATCTTAGTTAAATAGTCAAAGATCTAAAAACTTAAAAACCACAACAGAGCAAAGCAAATTCAACATTAACACTAGAAAATAAATTAAACGAAGTACAAAAATAAATAGAAAAATCACACTACAACAGTGGAAAGATAAAAATACTCACAGATCTGAGATAAAATTTTCGGCAAGGACAACTTCACCGGAGCAGCGAATCAATCGGCGATCACTTTGGTATAAATCAATGAAATTGGAATTACAAAAGGTTAAACAATTCGATAACTCTCGACCGGTGCTTTCGCCGGCAAACAAGGACGGGACCGGTAATTCGATACCTCAATGGAAACCTCAAGCTCCACTTCGATGGAGAGCTCACTGCTCAAAGTTTTCTTGTGAACTTTTCCGAATCACACAACTCGAACTCACTGACTTATGGTAGCAATTGATAGAGATGCTCAGCACAAGGATTATTCTGTCCTCTAAGACCTTCACTTTTTGCTTGTACTTAGGATAACCAATACATAGGTTATAAACTCAGAAAAAGGGGAGGGGGGTTCTATTATGGGGGAATGGTTGTTGCTTTGTCAAAGAGAGATGAGGGTTATTTTTGAAGAAGGAAGCGGCTAAATTGGGGAATTGGGGGTGGGCACCGTTCTTAGCTTAGAATTTAGGTTAGCTCTTCTTCCCTTTTTTTGCTTAGGAATTCCATGTCTGTCGTTGTCTAGGGAGTATAGGTATTTTTGTTTGCTAGGTCTCCTCTTTGATTTAGGAATTTAGGCATTATTTTATAGGGATAAGAATTAGGTCAGGTCAAATGGGAATGGATATGGGTTTGGATTTAGGAAATTAGGTTGGACCATATTTTATTGGGTTTTAACTTTGGGGTAGAAAAACTAAATAAAGCAATGTAAAAAATCACTCTTAATTAAAATAAATTAATATAAAACTAAATACTAAAAGTAAAACTAATTTGTATTTTCAAATGTTATAATACTATAAATATAAATATACTAGTTCACTTTAACCTAAAGATGAAATGTTTTTTTTTTTTGTAATTTTTTTATTTTTTGTGATAAAAATAAAGTAAAAAAGTCAAAATTATTTGAAATAGCGATATTAGGCCTAAACTAAATATTTACATGCTAAAATATATAAAATCTTGGGGAGGGTCAAAAATCACAAGTCTATCGCGTACTGTTAAACTATGGAAAATATGACAATTTAGTCAAAGTTTAGAACAAAGGAAAGGCAATCGATAATAAAAGCACAGTGTGTATTGGTAGATACTTGAGACCTGTATATGTCTCATAATTCTTTTAGTAGGTTCAACAAAAGTCAGTTTCTTTGACATAAGAAATTAACTCACTTTCAACTAGCCTTAAAACATCTGGTACAGGTAAATTTTTCTTCCTCAACTGGCCGTAACGCGGCCAATAGCATAACAGATAATGAGGCAGCCCACCAGCCAGAGCTGGTTCTCATCTTAATATGCACGAAATATGAAATGTTTCGTCGAGCAAATGCATTTTTCTTGCAGCATTTCAGAAAATTTTCGTACAAAACAGGCAATTTCATGCCTGTTAGACCAAATATTCAATACACATGAAGCTATTAACTTTTGAAACAAAAGGGTAAGGCCAAAACTTTACATGTATAGTGCTATATGTAACAAATGGACTCAGGCAACTAAGCTTAAAACCTAAAAGAAAACGTTATCCGGTGCCAGGGGTTCCTAGAAATTTGACAAGCTACCATTCTAGAGATCAGCCAAAGACCTTGTAACACTATATATAGAGCAAAATGACCAAATATATTGTCTGTGCTAACCTAAGTATTGTGATTCACCAAATCTGTCCACCAGGTGACTAAAAAGTGCAGTGTCACCACTGCAACAGGCTGGAATTCCAAGAATTCATTGTTGGCGGTGGTCTAAAATGTCTCATATGAGGAGCTTGTGCCCTTAGTACACAGCCTGTTCCAGGGATCGCCGCATAACTAAAAGTTTGGATCGAGGGTTGACTTGGAACACTAGTCGATAAAACTGGTGTGAGGATGACAGGCTGCAAGTTTCGTGTTGGGGTCATAGGTGAACCACTTGTCGGCAGATTAGCAGAGGTTGTCGTTTGCAGGGTGACCCTTGCACTTGTTGGCGGAACTGCAGCTGACTCTGTCACCATAGGCAATTCAGCATTTTGAGATGGAATGACAGCCATTGAAAAATTCTGAGAGGATATTTGATAGTCCGCAGCTCGTTGCTCTAAGTTGACATGTTCAGAAAATAAACTTGGATACTTCAGAACATCTGATGATTGACTTGCTGGTTGTGTTGATGCAGAAATCACTGCTGGGACACTACTAGGTCGGCTTGGTGATGATTGTCCAGTTCCTGTAATACATATTCGGAAAGCACACATTAAGGATATCATTAATAAAACTAGACATAGTAACTGAGAGACAGGAAAATGCCAAAAGTTAATCGAGTTTGAGAGTAAAAGAGCTTGAGATGTTAATTATCCTATTATATTTAACATTTATATCCTCAAAGCAATATTAATACTAGAAAAGTTCAGGCCATCTGTATGGACAAAATCAGACCAGAGGAAAAGGAGGAATATGCTATTAGTAGCTTTATTTTTGAAAATGTTGTTCACTGTTTTAAAATGCAGTTGAAAAAGCTTTGACTCCATAACAGATTGATCAAAGTGCCGTTCTTGTCAAGCGTATGTAACTGCAATTACCATCATTATTATTAAGTAAAAAGTAATAAAAATGCATACCTTCTGCCATCTCTAGTGACCACGCAGTATTTTGTATCTGGATCATGGCTTCAGCTAGTAACTTATTCATATGCACTTTGTTGTAGAGTGTATCAAGATCTTTGCGCTTTTGAACTAATTCCGTGTCAGCAACCTCAAACAGCAAATCGTACTTCTTCTTTATTGCATCTAGCTCTTTTTCATATTCAGATATCAGGAGCAAATTCTGCATAAAATTTTATAATGAAAATTTCAGTAATCTTTGCAATGGGAAGCATTATTATATTTTAAAATTACAACAAAAAAAAATTAACAATAAATCAAAAGGACACAGAAATGAACAAGAAAGGGGCACAGGTCAGACGGACAAACCAGATTTTCATGCAATTTTGTAGTTTGTTCTCTCTCCTTTAGTATCCTCTCCATCTCCATTTGAAGTGCGTATGAACAAGGGGATTGAAGCAGCTCAGATGCGTCTGGAGAGGCATCAGGACGACATCGATATTCCTGGCTGTTTCTGCTTCTCATACTCGCATCGTTTCCTGCACCTATACTCGTATGCTGTTGCAGTGGCAAATTTCCTGCAGACCGCTGAATAGAAGAGTCTATTGGCAAATTCAACTCCTCTGGCTGAAGGTCCACGAAATCTAAAACCTGGTGACTGGAAGAATCAATACAATTCCTATGGCTCTGGTGATTGTCAGTGGGCACAAATGCATGAGCTTGATCACGGCCAGTAGAGGCGGGCAAATTGGAATCTGGCGGCTGAGATAGATAGAAGAAAGTTTGAGAAAATAATCAGGTGTCCACTCTGATTCAAGAAACTTCATGGCACCAATAACAAAGATGAAAGTTCATTCCATTGATACTAGAGGTGAAGGAAATGAAACCAGCACCGCGAGATAGATTGTCAGACGGAAACAACTTGCCCAGTGCATATAAGGGACCACAGCCAACATTTAGCCACATTCTAAATTCTCCTACTACAGAATGTCTAATTAAAATGTACGGAAAAATGTTTTAGAAAGTAATTCAGTAAGATGCTATGAGCACATGGTGGGATCATAAATTTCATATATTTCATGATAAAGGCAATATTTTTCATAATTGCCTGGCGTAAGAAACTGCCTCTCTACCTTTATAACATAGGGGTAAGGTATGCGTACACACTACCCTCCCCAGACCCCACTTAGGGGATTACAATGGGTTTGTTGTTGTTGCCTGGCATAAGAAACTATGAAATTTCAACATTTTCTAACACTTTGTTTCGACAACTTACACAATCTCTTGATGTTAATATTTCTTTTATTGAGAATATTAGCTTTCCTCTGGTTAAATTTTACCATAATACCTTCCCTGGTGTAAGTTTTGCAGAGTCATCCAGTAACTTAACCCTTGTTGAACAAGCAAGAGGAGAACTTCATTTAATGCCAGATCACATGCTAGAGGCCACTGCTTCATTCATTCAAAAACTGATTTCTCATGTTACTTGTTAGAACTTGGAACAATTTCCAGATGCATTTTGGAGAAATTTCGGAATGTGAAAAAGAATTCAGGAAGATATCCCCGCACCTGATTTGATTTCTTGGAAATACTTTCTTTTCGATGCTGATCAGTCATGGTTAAGCCAACTTGGGACTGAACCTTGTCAATAGCTGCTCTACCTTGCCTGTCAATATCGCACTGCGGACTGGGATTACTCACAAGACGCCTGCTTTTATACTTGTTACCACCAGAAAGATGAGACATCCCTAGAAAATGAGTTTGGCATCAAAAAGCAAATATGTCAGTGTCTGATGATAAAGAAAAATTAATGGATACAAAGATATAACATAGGCACTGCATTACCAAGTTTGTGTCTCTTTCCCTGGACATGCAATTTCCTTTTCGTCCTTAACTTGGGTTCTGGAGTAAGATGAACTTTATTGCCCTCTTTCCTGCCTTTCTTTTCAGAAACTTGTTCCCTTTCGGATGGCTGACACAAATCACCCCGGGGTCTAACTGTCCTAATCCCTTGTGATAGTCTAGGCAAGTGTTTCCACCTACGAACCGTTCCATGTAACAGACTTATCCAGAAAACATTGGGAAGTTCATTCGTCATTCCTCTCACAAAAGAAGAATCATCCATCAGTTGCATTTCCACTTCACCAAGTAGAGATATATTTCTTGGATAAGTCCCTCCATTCTGCTGCACTTTCAATATCTTTGAACAGCTGTTATAATCACTGTTCTCACTGTTACTAGACATCAGGCGTAACAATTCAGCAAAGACATCATCTAAAGCAGCAATGTCAGACAATCTTTTTGATTGTGAAGATTGTACATGGAAACAATCAAGCATATTGAAAAGATAAGAGGCACCCCAAGTTAGCAGTTCATGGAATTGTTTTATATTCTCTATGTTGCTGTCAATTGTCATACCTTGCTTTGCAAGAATGAGTGCTTTCTCTTCAACAGTAAAATATGAATATAGACGGAGTACCTTTATTTGCTCCAATTTTGAATAAATTGCAATCTTCTGCAGGGATCTTAAATCATTAGTTGGGTCCCAGTCACTGTTAAACAAAATAATTGTATCTATTCTCGAAAGCTTGATGCTGGGAGCACAAACACGAGTCTCCATCAAACAAGCAAATTTCCCACTTCCCTCATTGTTGAACTTGTTCAAGGTAGCTTGCTTCAATTTACGACTGAATTCCCCACTAATGCGTGTATAAGAATCCTCACCAAATTTTCGATGAATAAAATCATCCAAAATGTCCCCGATGGAAATAACCCCCGATCCACCAAGAGACTGTAACATAAACAACTTAGCATCATACGAAATTACGAACATTAGCTAGCAAAGCAATAAGAGAGACATAAAATAAGTTTACATGTATGTTAGAGCAAATCCAACAAAATACAATCAGTCTCCTGAGGGATTTATACATTCACAAATAACAAATAAGAAAGAATACTCAAGAGAGCTCCTAGAGGCAACAATAA